ATTTTTCAACACTGTAGTCTCAATTCTTAGGCACTGTTCAATGATCATTTTCCATAATTTCATTGTATGACTCATCAATTCTATCTCTTTATAATTATTACAATTTTGAATATCCCCTTTATTCTTTCTCCATTCATCAGAAATTTTCTTAGTAGCAATAGTTCTATTGAATAATTTTATTAACCACGACACCCCTNTCAACACTGTAGTCTCAATTCTTAGGCACCTTTCAATGATCATTTTCCATAATTGCATTGTATGACTCATCAATTCTATCCCTTTATAATTATTACAATTTTGAATATCCCCTTTATTCTTTCTCCATTCATCGGAAATTTTCTTAGTAGCAATAGTTCTATTGAATAATTTTATTAACCACGACACCCCTCATTTCCTAAGCACTTCCAAACTTCAATTAGAATCTCATCCAGTTTTAAAGTCTTGCCTAATTTAATTTTTTTCAATGCAAACTCTACCTCCGAATTCTTTATTCTACGAAAAAAGGTTTCTTGGATCCTACAATTTTCTATCTCTTCTGAGTTTCTTAAGTGATTTTCGTTTCATAATTTCTCAAAATAGTCTTTCCATCGATCATTTATTTCCTCATCTTTAACTAAAACCTTTGAATCATCGCCCTTGATGCACTTAACTTAGTTAAAGTCTCTTATTTTTCTTTCTCTANTCAGTCTTAAAGTCTTGCCTAATTTTATTTTCTTCAATGCAAACTCTACCTCCGAATTCTTTATTCTACGAAAAAAGGTTTCTTGGATCCTACAATTTCCTATCTCTTCTAAGTTTCTTAAGTGATTTTCGTTTCATAATTTTTCAAAATAGTCTTTCCATCGATCATTTATTTCCTCATCTTTAACTAAAACCTTGGAATCATCGCCCTTGATGCACTTAACTTAGTTAAAGTCTCTTATTTTTCTTTCTCTAATTTTAGTTAGTTTGTAGATGTCTTTTTCTCCCTCTTTACTATCTATTTTTTCGTGCAACTCGTCGTAGGCTTTTAACTTAGCGTCTCTAACTATCTTTTTAACCTCGTTGTTAGCTAATTTATATCTTTGGAAGTTCTCTTTATTTCTATCATTTTACCATCTCTTAAAGGATTCTTTCTTTGTTTTAACTACCTCTTGTACGTCGTCATTTCACCACCAAATTTCTTTTTCCACAAACCCTCTACCCTTTGACTCTCCAAGAACCTCTCTCGAAATTTTCCTAATGTCATCCGTCTTCGTACTCCACATAATGTTAGTCTCATCCTCTAGGTTCCATAAGGCCTCTTTAAGCATTCTACTCCTAAATAGTACTAATTTCTCATCTTTTAGATTTCACCATCTCGTTCTTGTTTTTCTAATATTTCTCCTTACTTTATGTTGCTCTTTAATATATAAATGTAGGATTGTTAACCTATGTTGAGGTGTTAAGCTTTCTCCCAGGATAACCTTACAATCTTTACATGCTAATCAATCTGTTCTTCTACTTAAGAAGTAGTCTACTTGACTTTTATTTGGTTCGTTCTTAAAGGTTTTTAAATGTTCTTCTCATTTTTAAACAAGGTGTTTGCCACTACAAGGTCATATGTCATTGCAAACTCTAAAATACTCTCTCCGATTCACATGGGTCTCATGTTATTTGCGTACCGTGTAGTAGAATCGAATCAGTGATGGCCAAGGCAGATACGACTCGGCCGAGTCGGATACTTAGAACCTCGTGGGCACACCTAACTTATTTGTTAAAATGCCCTAAGGCTGGCGCAATGCCCCTAATTAATTTTTTGAAAAGCCTCGAGGCAGGTGCAACGCGTCACTTATGGGGAACGACCTAGAATTAGCACATAAATCATTGTTTGGACTCATCATAGTAGATCCGACAAAGTTTTACGCTGGCTATAGACTACCTAACACAACCCTCCTCCTTTATCCTGGCTTGAGACAGACAGTGTTGAATACAACACTGGCGGAGTTGGGAATGGAGTGCAATGATTTNTGAGGCAGGTGCAACGCGTCACTTATGGGGAACGACCTAGAATTAGCACATAAATCATTGTTTGGACTCATCATAATAGATCCGACAAAGTTTTACGCTGGCTATAGACTACCTAACACAACCCTCCTCCTTTATCCTGGCTTGAGACAGACAGTGTTGAATACAACACTGGCGGAGTTGGGAATGGAGTGCAATGATTTTTGTTTTGTTTTTTTTCTTGATAGGAAACGATAATGTCATTGATTATAAAAGTTAAAAAAATNCCTTTATCCTGGCTTGAGACAGACAGTGTTGAATACAACACTGGCGGAGTTGGGAATGGAGTGCAATGATTTTTGTTTTGATTTTTTTTTTGATAGGAAACGATAATGTCATTGATTATAAAAGTTAAAAAAATTACAAAAAGCAAGTCGTGTTGGTTTTTTTTTATGGAGTCTAGTTTGTATATGTGATCCGGATGATGACCCAACCCGAAATAATGTTGTGTGATTTTTTAATGGAAAATTTTCTGAGGCTTAGTCCATGGAGCGNTTTTTTTTCTTGATAGGAAACGATAATGTCATTGATTATAAAAGTTAAAAAAATTAAAAAAAGCAAGTCGAAGGTGGACAAGTAGTCAAAACCAAAGGGATGGGATTGCAACTGTTGACTAACTGTAAAGGGCAACAAAGCAATAGTTAAGATAAGGAACAATTAGTAAAACTGATTATCGTGTATATGACCATTTGTGAGATTTTTCGTTGACTATACACCGATTCACCATTAAGCATTAGGTTTCAGCCCTCTAGAAATAAGCTTTTGGGAAGAAAGCCAAGGCAATCAATTCAAATAAGGTAGTACTAAAAACGAGGTTAATGGTACTACCAAGGATCAGAAGTGCGTTGGGATGGATTGTTTTGATCAGCTCACACACTGAAATGATCCGGGAACGGAACGGAAACAAAGAAAACCATTGAAAATCTAACTCCAGAAAATACAGACACACGAGAATTTTAATTCCGAAACATTCCAAAAAGATCTTTCATCACTTATTCGTTTCAATTGCACAATCCTTTACACATTGATTCATCGGGAATCCAATAACATAAATAGTTACACATCGCAAAAACTGTATGAATTATCAAATTCATGCACGTTACAAAGCTAAATCCAGAAACCCAAATCTCGAAATTCCAGAAACATAAATATTTGCACATCAACAAATCACAAAAAACATAAACTATGAATTTCAAACCTGCATGAATGCGGACTTCAAATACCCAATTTCCTCCTCAATCAAACAGGTAATACTAACAAAGAAAAAACACAGGTGGGTTAATTGATTTCTCAGTTTGGGACTCGTACTCAATTGTGATAAACTGAGGAAACAGCTCATCAGGAAGATTAGTTTCGGTTTTGCTTCTTGGGATTCCAAGTCCCAAGAATTCTGTCATCGTTTTTGGATTGTTGTGGTGCAAAAGGAGAAAGAAATTATGTCGCCGCCGCAGGTGATGGTGGCGGCGGTGTTAGATTGTTGATGGTGGCGGTTCAAGAGCTCAAATGATAGAAAGCAAAAGAGATAGAAGTGAAATAAAAGAAAATATCATGTATGCGTTGGTTGGTATGAAAAACTTTTAAAATAATTTTATTTTATTGTTTAAAAGAAATGAAAGTTATAAGAAATTTTTTCTAGTTGTTTAAATTATCTTTTATTATTTTAACACGGATTAAACAAAAAAAATATTTTTTATTATTTAAATTTAAAAAGAAATTAGCTCTTAACTTAATTCAGAGACAAGAATCAACTCAAATCATAATCTCAAGATAAAATTATATGGTTAGCCTAATTTGTACGAAAAATTTTAAAATTAATAATTAATTAAATATTTTAAGAAAAATAAGGGTAAAATGAAAAGTTTGGTTATTGAATACAATTTTCTTACTATTCCTTGTATTTTTTGTAAGAAAAAAAAATTAGTTAGATGTGAGAAAATCTAAGTATGAAAGAAAATTATTTTTTTTTATCATTTTTATTTCATGTTAAACAAACACGTGTAAAATTTTAAAATTTTTTCTTTCTTACATTTTCTAACATTATCTTGTTAAACAAACGGACCTTTAGATTTGATTGATACCATCAATATTACTCTTTTCGATTTTATAGTTTATTACTTCTGTTAGTTTTCTTTTCGTTTTTAAGTAGAAAAGTCTCTTCTTTTTCTTTTATCATTTATAATTTTAGAAAAAATGACATGAAATTAGGGGGTTATAATTGATTATTTCTCGACGTTATCCTAAAAATAATATGAGTTGTTGATGTGAATAATAAATAGGTCGGTTAGGGACAAATTCGAATAATTTGAAATTAAAAAGATTAATTTTTTTACTAATTTTATAGGAATAAAATATTAATATTTTATAACTTTTTCTTATCAAGTATTGACACAGTCCAACTTTTACGTATTTGTAGTATTATAAGTATCAAATTATTTTTTTTAAGTTTATATAAAAACTATGAGGGTTGGTTTGATTAAGAGATAATAGAGCTTTAGTATGAAGTTTTTGATTAATGGGTTATAAGAGTTAACCCAAACATTACACGAAAAATAAATGAGGTGAATTAGAATTGATTAATATGTTATCTAAACAGAATTAACATGACACCAATAACACTCGATTTGACACAATTTTTAATTCGAAAAGTTTAAAATTTCAACCAATTATCATTTTTCAAGCAAAAAAAAGGTGATTGTAGTTTTCGTTCTAATTCACATTAAATGTATCGATTCAAACACTTGATAAATATGTATGATTTGTATCAAGACACATGACACTATTGTTTAATTGAATCGAGTTTAACTTGAGTACTAAGATAAGTTTAAAATAACACGACAGAACATAACACGATCCACTTAAGACTTGATTAACAAAGTGATCACTCCAATGGACATAATAAAGTTCATTCACTGTATACTGAAATGCTGATCAAATTTTTTTTATTTTTTTTTAAATAAATAAATGTTGATCATTTTCAATCACAATATTAGCTAGTAAAACAAATACCCATATGCACACATAAACAATCAAACCAAAAATAACATTTCCTATACATGACAAACACATCATAATATCATATATCATCCCGTTCTTCATCTTTGCTAAGGTTCAAAACCTGGCTTCTTCTCTTTCCATGGCGGCGGTGGTGTTTCTTACCAAACTTCAATCTTCCAGTCTCTTTAAACTGCTGCCTCTCCAACGGATCAACCTCACACTCCGGCGGCGGGATCGGGTACCTTAATGTATCATAACAATATGAATAGTACATGTATTTCTGCCTGAACTTCTTCATGGCCACTAGCTGCCTAGGCTTGAGAGTACTATAGTTAATGTTTTCCGGCCAGTCGTCGTCGTTTTCAGAGCAGCCGGGGCTTGGAATTTCTTGTAGAGGATCAACTGCACAGCCATGGAGGACAAGGTCTGTGAATTCTGCTACAAAAGGAGCATACTTGTAGTTGACTTTGTATTTGCCACCGGATGTAGCCCAATCTGAAGCATCCCATATGGTGGCATATAGTGACATAGGCTTTGATGGGTAGTCTCCTCCCATTTCATCGTTGTGTATGATTTGTCTAATTGGAATCTCATCTATATAAAAGCTGCATAAGAGAAAAATGAAAAAAAAAATAAAAATAGTGAGGTCTACCTTTGAAGTGTGTTATAATACGAATTTCGAGCGCAATTACCCAAAAACCATGTGAATCGAATAAACTAGAACTTTGAGACATCAAAGTAGTAGGTCCTAAAGGCTTCCCAACTAGTCCCTAAAGTTTTCACTTTGTTTTACTTTGGTTGAATTCAAAATCATGATTTAAATTGACTAGCAGAAAATGTCATATACATCTCACGTGAGTATAATTCTAGGGTCATCTTGGTCCTTCAAGTTTTCAATTCGTGCTACTTTGATTTTTATTCCTTTGATTTGGTCACTTCAATCTCTCAAATGTTCAACGAATATCTCTACATTATAGTAACGTGAAACACAGATGAAACCTTCCTTCCGTTTCATCAATTTAAATTGACATTTTTGATTGGACCAAATAGAAACCAAAATCTCGAGGGATTGTTGACCAAGTTGAAAGAGTGAGAATCAAATTGATACAAAACGTATACTTCAAAAATAATTATTTGTTTTCGGAAAACTTTTCGGAGCCATATTTAAGTAGTTAATCCTAAAGTTTTCTTGTATGCTAGCTAGTACAAGTTTCAATTGGGTTAACTTATAACTAAGAGGCCTCACCTATTTTTCTCATATTGAAGTTCTCATTATTTCAAAATTAACACCAATCGACTCTTTCAAAGAAGCTGCAGGTGAAATTAAAACTCACATAATTTTCTTGGTGGTCCATAGGATGCTATAACGATGAAACTCTTTGGAAGGGTCAAACCAGAGGCTGTATCTCTCTTCTCTCCCTCTACTTGTGCTTCCATTTCCATACACATTAGTCTGAAACCTCCATGCTTTCCCTCTAATATTTCCCAGAAACTCAAAGTCCAATTCGTCGTGTGTCTTCTCAAAAACATCTCCATTTGTTGTCTGTGATTACCAAACCAATTCACATATAAAGAAAAAAGAAAGAATTAAGAAATGGGTGGTAGAGAATTTGGTGTGATCGTAGAGAAAATTAAGGACTAGAAGAAGAAAATAGGTGCTAGATTACGTACATAAAACGCGATGACAATACCAGCAGTGTACTCTGATGGTAATTTTATTTTAGCACTGAAGAATCCATGGTTGTAGAGATCAGATGACCTGAATCCAGAACCTGTGGAAGATAAAGGTGACCATGTCAAAAACAAGAAAAAAAATCTAGAAAGAGCACAATTATATCTCTGTTGTTTGTGTATTTCCATGTCACAGCTTTACGGCTTACACAGTTGATCAGATTAGACAGCCCTCAGGCAACCAACCAAACCCGACACATCAAATTCCATTCTGATCAACAACTAGAAGATATGGCTGGCTTAAGGCATTGGTATGCTAAATCTACATACAAGAAGATTGTATTTGAATTTTGCGAGGGTGGGTTTAGCGCAACAAATAAGCTTAGCTCTATTGTAATTTGGGGATCAAGAGTTCAAAATAGCAAAACTAGTCTCTCTGCATATTGAGTAAGACCGCATACATTTGACACTTCTTAAACCTTGCGGTGGAGCGAGCCTCGTTTACTGAACAATCTTTTGTGTGTGTGTGTGGGTCTTTGTATATTTATCTATACATCATTTATGTGAAATAAGATGATTTCTGATTAGCAAAAAGTGTTTATGGGGAAATGATAAAGAAAGAGGGTAGCGCNACACGACAGAACATAACACGATCCACTTAAGACTTGATTAACAAAGTGATCACTCCAATGAACATAATAAAGTTCATTCACTGTATACTGAAATGCTGATCAAAATTTTATTTTTTTTTGTAAATAAATAAATGTTGATCATTTTCAATCACAATATTAGCTAGTAAAACAAATACCCATATGCACACATAAACAATCAAACCAAAAATAACATTTCCTATACACACATCATAATATCATATATCATCCTGTTCTTCATCTTTCCTAATGTTCAAAACCTGGCTTCTTCTCTTTCCATGGCGGCGGTGGTGTTTCTTACCAAACTTCAACCTTCCAGTCTCTTTAAACTGCTGCCTCTCCAACGGATCAACCTCACACTCCGGCGGCGGGATCGGGTACCTTAATGTATCATAACAATATGAATAGTACATGTATTTCTGCCTGAACTTCTTCATGGCCACTAGCTGCCTAGGCTTGAGAGTACTATAGTTAATGTTTTCCGGCCAGTCGTCGTCGTTTTCAGAGCAGCCGGGGCTTGGAATTTCTTGTAGAGGATCAACTGCACAGCCATGGAGGACAAGGTCTGTGAATTCTGCTACAAAAGGAGCATACTTGTAGTTGACTTTGTATTTGCCACCGGATGTAGCCCAATCTGAAGCATCCCATATGGTGGCATATAGTGACATAGGCTTTGATGGGTAGTCTCCTCCCATTTCATCGTTGTGTATGATTTGTCTAATTGGAATCTCATCTATATAAAAGCTGCATAAGAGAAAAATGAAAAAAAAAATAAAAATAGTGAGGTCTACCTTTGAAGTGTGTTATAATACGAATTTCGAGCGCAATTACCCAAAAACCATGTGAATCGAATAAACTAGAACTTTGAGACATCAAAGTAGTAGGTCCTAAAGGCTTCCCAACTAGTCCCTAAAGTTTTCACTTTGTTTTACTTTGGTTGAATTCAAAATCATGATTTAAATTGACTAGCAGAAAATGTCATATACATCTCACGTGAGTATAATTCTAGGGTCATCTTGGTCCTTCAAGTTTTCAATTCGTGCTACTTTGATTTTTATTCCTTTGATTTGGTCACTTCAATCTCTCAAATGTTCAACGAATATCTCTACATTATAGTAACGTGAAACACAGATGAAACCTTCCTTCCGTTTCATCAATTTAGATTGATTTTTGATTGGACCAAATAGAAACCAAAATCTCAAGAGATTGTTGACCAAGTTGAAAGAGTGAGAATCAAATTAATACAAAACGTATACTTCAAAAATAATTATTTGTTTTCGGAAAACTTTTTGGAGCCATATTTAAGTAGTTAATCCTAAAGTTTTCTTGTATGCTAGCTAGTACAAGTTTCAATTGGGTTAACTTATAACTAAGAGGCCTCACCTTTTTTTCTCATATTGAAGTTCTCATTATTTCAAAATTAACACCAATCGACTCTTTCAAAGAAGCTGCAGGTGAAATTAAAACTCACATAATTTTCTTGGTGGTCCATAGGATGCTATAACGATGAAACTCTTTGGAAGGGTCAAACCAGAGGCTGTATCTCTCTTCTCTCCCTCTACTTGTGCTTCCATTTCCATACACATTAGTCTGAAACCTCCATGCTTTCCCTCTAATATTTCCCAGAAACTCAAAGTCCAATTCGTCGTGTGTCTTCTCAAAAACATCTCCATTTGTTGTCTGTGATTACCAAACCAATTCACATATAAAGAAAAAAGAAAGAATTAAGAAATGGGTGGTAGAGAATTTGGTGTGATCGTAGAGAAAATTAAGGACTAGAAGAAGAAAATAGGTGCTAGATTACGTACATAAAACGCCATGACAATACCAGCAGTGTACTCTGATGGTAATTTTATTTTAGCACTGAAGAATCCATGGTTGTAGAGATCAGATGACCTGAATCCAGAACCTGTGGAAGATAAAGGTGACCATGTCAAAAACAAGAAAAAAATCCTAGAAAGAGCACAATTATATCTCTGTTGTTTGTGTATTTCCATGTCACAGCTTTACGGCTTACACAGTTGATCAGATTAGACAGCCCTCAGGCAACCAACCAAACCCCACACATCAAATTCCATTCTGATCAACAACTAGAAGATATGGCTGGCTTAAGGCATTGGTATGCTAAATCTACATACAAGAAGATTGTATTTGAATTTTGCGAGGGTGGGTTTAGCGCAACAAATAAGCTTAGCTCTATTGTAATTTGGGGATCAAGAGTTCAAAATAGCAAAACTAGTCTCTCTGCATATTGAGTAAGACCGCATACATTTGACACTTCTTAAACCTTGCGGTGGAGCGAGCCTCGTTTACTGAACAATCTTTTGTGTGTGTGTGTGGGTCTTTGTATATTTATCTATACATCATTTATGTGAAATAAGATGATTTCTGATTAGCAAAAAGTGTTTATGGGGAAATGATAAAGAAAGAGGGTAGCGCATATGTGTATATTCTTGTGTGTGAATAGAAAGATAGAGTTTGAATATGAGAGAGATGAGAATGAGTAAGTGCATGCCTGTGTATTGGCTGAGGAGAAGACGGACGCTTTTGTCATCGGATGAACGCATGAGGTTTCCATCACCAAAGAGAGGACTGAAACCTTTGCTAAATGGAATTCTTGTTAAGCTATTAAACTCTGCGTTAGCAGGATAGAAAAGATTGAGGATGAAGAGGAGGGAGAGACATGTTATTCTGTTAGAGAGAGAATGCAACTTTTCCATTTCTACTGTGTTTTTTTCTTCCTGCAGCACCCATGCTAGCTATATACATATATGTAGAGAGAGAGAGAGAGAGAGAGGGAGACTGGTTGGTAAAGGACAGCTGGGTGACAAGACCAATAATTCAGGATTTAGTCCAAGGTTTTAATTTAATAATGAATATATGACTAAGGGCATGGTGTTCTAGTTAGATTGTCATAAACCTTGTGCTTTCTTGTGCATGTGTCCAAATTTTTGGTATTCATTGAGTAAGAAAATGACAGTTATGTATTTACAGAAGTATATATATATATATATACGTAAATTAGACAACAGCATAACCGATCAGTCACTTTTCAAAAAATAGCATAGTGCACGAGATTGACGTCGTTCAAACAAGTCTTAGACATGGGTGTTCAAATTTTTGATTGACAGTAATTTTTTATCTTACCTGACTCTATTCTATCCTATTTAATGGATAATCGTAAACATTGGGTAGAAATACGAAAGAGTTTTTGATTTTTTAATTAAATCAGGTAAGAATACGGAATACCCATCAATTTTAGCATTCCTATCCTACCCTATCTGTAAAAAAATATATTTAATTTTTTTATATTTTTTTAGTAATTATAAGAGTATTTGTGTGGTATAATTTATATTATAACATTATTATTGTTGTGGATGTTTGAGTTGCTAAAACATAAACTTATTTTTTGTGTAGGTTACATGATTTGTAGTGAACTAATAATCTATTAGAAGAGTTATGATTTTAATGTATTTTATTTGATTTAAATTTAAAATAATTGTTATTATATTTGTGTAACAATTATGATGGATTGATGTTTATGTTTTCTTATGTTTTATTGTAATTGTTGTTGTAGTTGTTTTAGATTTTAGTATTATTGATTTATTGTGTTGTTAAATTGGTGCATGTTATTTAATTGAATTGTTAAAATGATCCAAAAATTAATAGATATAAAAGTGTTTACCCGATTTCATACTCGATTAATCGAGTAGGAATACCACACTTGATCGGATTGAATAGGACAAGAAAAAATTATTTCGTAAAATATCGAATAAGAAAACGAAAAACTATATTTCTTATCTATGGGATACGGTGAACACCCTAGTATTAGGAGACTTCAACGTAACAATTAAATGACCAAACAACCCCTGCACCTACTTATTATTTATTTATTTATGAGCACGCTCTTGTTTTAAGTACAAGTGAAATGATATGAATGCCAGCTTTTTAAATTCAAGCCTTCAACCGAGAAAGCTGACTTTCAACCACTGTGAGCTATCGTTGTCTCGTCATTGCATGAGTTTTGAAAAACAATCTGTCCACGTGTCTAGACAAATCAGTGCAACCAACGTACCCTGCTCTTAAATACTTGATGTTGCATTGCTGCCATGTTTGTTAGGCCTCCAAGAAAATAATGATGATCTGTGATAACAAACAAATAGTACTAATTGGCGATCGATCTCGTGTGATGTAGGATATATATAATTTTTTTTCATTGTAACACTATTTCATTCTATTCCTTTAATTTCACCCTCTTATTCCACCCGCAATATAACTTGTTTATTTTGTCTATTTGTTATAGAGAGAAGAGAAAACGAGAAGAAAATGTTAGAGAGAAGAGAAAACGAGAATGAAATGTTAAAAAGAGAAGAGAAGGTGAGAAGTTAAAGAAAATTATTGTGAGATAGGGTGGTTAAAAGTTAAAAAAATACTTAATAGTTTTACAGGGTATGTGAGACAACTTGAATAAAAGTTTTTTTTTTCCAATTTAATAACCCAAAAATATACTCACCTACTAATGGTGGTTTATAGGTTTGTCATTCAACAAATGACGATTTCTAAGAATTAAATATGTTTGTTGATCTGTTATTGTTGATATTTAGTCAAAAGCAGCCGTGGAATGGAAGTTTGGAGATAAGGGTTACTAAGTGTAGGGCAACATTCATTAGCGAATTGTGTTATAAACTCAAATATTTTAAATTCAAATTTTAACAATTTTTTAAAGTCAGTTTATGAGAAATTTTTGTCTTATGAATACTCTAATCTCGGCGTAGATGATTTATATTTGATCGAATTGGAGAGAGAATCAATCGAAATATGCATAAGTTAACCCGAACACACTTGACAATTAGACAACAAAAAACATACATTAGTGGAACTAGAGGTTATAAAATTGACTATCCAATAGACTAAAATACACACCTAGACTTTAGTATTTTATATTATGTATATAAAGCGATTTATTTCAAATTCAAACTTAGCTTGACATGTCCATCATTATGTCATCTAATGAACTTACAATATTTTGTTGCACTATGATTGAAATTATATATGAGCAATGCAATATGAAGTTAATTTCAGAACTTAATTCACATACTTAAGTTAGTTGTTAAATTTATTATGAATTTTAAAATTGGATGGAGCGCACTTCAATTCAACCCCTTAACTATGGACAAAATAACATTTTTTGCTACATATATGGCACTGAATAATAGGTTATCATATATCATGAGATATCTTTTGATATTTATACTCGTCTTTGTAATATGAGGTAGTCGTTTCATATGAAGGTAATGAAGATAGGATGTCAATTTTTTTGGGCATGAAGATTATTTTTCCACTATTTTACCTATATAAAAAAGATGAGAGTACCGACTTACGATAGTGAGATTTCAATCTTAACTACTAACTTTAGTAGGATCGTGTTGTAAGTTGTAACCAGGGGGTTGACACTAGAGACAAATTAGATACCAAACCCACCTTAACAAAATAGATCTAGATTTTATTTTGTTTGTTTTGAAGATTGGGTACACATAATTTTATAATATAAAATTGATATTAGTTATAATTGTTGCCTATCCATGCCCTGTTGTCACTACATGGGATTGGGATGTTCCAAGTTGTTACGCCAACATACCAACTGCCACAAACAATAATATATACACTCGGGGGAAACTCTATGGTACCCAAGGAGCAATGTTTAAAAATTCGGCCCGGACATCAATTCGGTGAAGGGACCAGGTTAATGGGTAATTGGTTCAACCATTGGGTCACTAGTCGAATCGGTAATATAATAAAAAATTAAAAAATAATTATAAATAGGCTAAAAAATTCTAATAATTATAAAAATAACATCAAACATATAAAGTTAAGTAGAAAAAAGTTATCAAATATGTATCCAATTTTAATGTATTCCATTTTTAATACAACTTGTAAAGTTAAGTAGAGAAAAATACATCTATTGAAGTTCAAAACTCTAAGTCTAAGTCTAACTCTTCGTCAACGTATCAATCTAAGCATAATCCATGTAATTTGATTTTGCACTCTTTAAAGTTCAAGCTTCATACTCAAACTATAGTAAACAAGTTGTAAGACACATGGAAAACAAAACAAAGAACATGAGCATAGCATAAAGACTCAAATAAACGAAACTGAAAATAAATTATCCAACAATTGCCTAGTTCCACTTGAAAATACAAATATTTCATAATGATTAATAAAAATCACAAACAAGCCACAATTTCAATATCACAATTCATAATGCTCTTACCGCAATAAACAATTCACAAATTCACAATCTTAAACAAACATAAAACACACAAATGAAAAATACAATACCACAATCCATAAGTTACAAGTACAAAATCTCAAATATGAAATAACAATGTTCACAAAAGTAAAAGCCCGTCATAAAAATAATGCAATAAACATATATATTCATTCTCATTTCTCAATGAGCACTCCTACTCCATGAACTCCAATCCATACCAAACTCAGGAGGATTCTCAACTCTAGTACAATTAAAATTTTTAGCATTACTTGTAGTTGCATTGTCAGCACCTCCCTCATTACATTCCTCATTTCGAGGGTCCACAAGATCATCATCGTCATCATCCAAGTCAAAAACCAAAGTTTCATCTACATTATATCCAAACAAATATTATTTATTGACTAATCAAAAACTAATTTAAAATAAATAATTGTGAAGGAATAAATTACCATTATTCGGGTTTGTTTGGATATTGGACACAACTAGTTCATGACGAAAAGTATCTAATTCATCTATTGTTAAAGTTGGAAGCTCATCCTCTAAAATCCATGAGACATTATTTGTAAAATCTTCAAAGTCAATAGGATCATAATTTCTACCCCTCAAGTAATTCCTACACACCATCATTTACAAGATGAAAATTACACACGTAAATAAACTAACCATAATTGTAGTAAAATGCTAATAAAAATTATGTACCTTTGTTGCAATCTGTAATTGTAGTGAACATAAACAAGGTCATTAAGCCTTTGATGCTCCAACCTATTTCTTTNACGTAAATAAACTAACCATAATTGTAGTAAAATGCTAATAAAAATTATGTACCTTTGTTGCAATCTGTAATTGTAGTGAACATAAACAAGGTCATTAAGCCTTTGATGCTCCAACCTATTTCTTTTCTTAGAATGGATGTGTTCAAATACACTCCAATTTCGTTCAAAACCGGAAGAACTGCATGTTTGGCTTAAGACACGAATGACTAATTTTTGTAAGTTTGGTGTGCTACTTCCATAGCACAACCACCACTCATCTACATTTAATAATGTAATGCATCACTGTCAAATGTTAACAACAAAAGTGAAGTATATAACTTGAATTAGAATACTAAATATTTTAAATACCGGGAAGCATTCTCTCTCGATCGCTTATAGCAGTTACTCGCCCAAAGTTTCCTTCAGCATTTATGAACAATTTTATCTCATTTGTCAACTTACTACTCAAACTGGGATTTCCATAAGCATATCTCTCAATTACATCCAAGAGCCCTGAAATCGTTTGTCGATGATTTGCCATCTCATCCGACTTATATTGATTACTTGGGTTCAACCAATAACCAACAACATGAAGATTTTTATGAAGTTGACAATCCCAACGACTATCAATGATTTTCAAGTAAACACCTACTCTTTTTCTCTTTCTCTGAAATCTTTTCAACAACTCCTTCCTAGC